TTTACAAATAACCTACTGGAAGGCCAGAATCTTGGACTCTAACCTTTCCCTGCCTCTACAACATTATCTGTAGATGTGCTGAAGGGTCAGAGCACAGGAATGCTGTGACCGGAGGCAGAGATGTGAAGCCTAACTGGGCTCCATGCTTGCTTGGCTACCGGGAGAATATCTCTCAGGATCACCATGGCTAAAAACGGTTACAAAGTAAGTGGGCAGCTTTGCCACAAAGATCTAATGGGGCTCATGGGAAAACTGATTAAGAAAGACTTTACTGTTGGTCAGTGGTTGTCAGACAGGCTTCTCCATCAACGGGTATAGCCAGGCTGAGATATGAAAACAAAAAAAGACTTGGCGATCAGAAGGGAACAATCAGGGCTCACAGCTCCATCATTTACATTTCCCACCTGCTGAAGGCCAGGTCAATTTCAAGTTGGAATTTAAGGATCTACTGAGAAAGACACACGAAATGCAGCATGGGAAGAGTATGGACCTTGATGAGTTTCATTATATTAGTTTTCTTTGTTTTCCTGCCTACTGTTTTCTATAGGAAGACAAGTAAAATCCAAACCTAAGAATTCAATAAGGGCCATTTGTGAAAGAATTTCAGGTAAAATATAACACAAACAGGCCAGGTGCAGTAGCTCATGCCTGTACTGCAATCCTAATACTTTGGGAGGCTGAGGTAGGATTTGGGAGGATTGCTTGAGGCCATGTGTTCTGGACCAGCCTGAGCAACACAGCAAGACCCCATCTCTACATGAAAAACTTAGCTGTGCCTGGTGGCACATGCCTATAGTCCCAGCCACACAAGGATGAAGCAAGAGGTGCTTGAGACCAGGAGTTCCAACCAGCAGCGAGGTATGATTGCACCACTGCACTATAGCCCAAGTGACAGAGTGAGATCCCATCTCAAAAACACAGCAAACCCCAAGCCCAAAGACAAAACAGTTTACAGAAAAAGGTATGTAAAACTGAATACATGAAAGAAGAATTCATCTGTTATTCACAAACTGCTGAAATAATATACATCTATCCCTGATATCTATATAATTCCAATCTTCCATTTGTTGTAGTCAGAAACAATTCTCTTTCACAGTGGGGGCAAAGTATTTCCTTGCTACTTATAAACCTCACAGAATGTTTATCTTTTTAGAAAACTACACATTTTCTGAAATGACTGCAACAGAAATTGATTTTTGGAGTAAGCACACAATAGCACACTTAAAAAGAATTTTAGCACATATTTTATAAAATGGGAAAAGGAATGAAAAATGCCACATCATGATTTATTTTAAGCAAAAATTTTAAGTTCTCTTATTACTCAGAAATGTGATACTTAACATAAGCCAAAACCATCGTGGGCGTCTGTAACGAACAACAGAAATCCTTAACATTGAAAATCAAATACAAAAAGGTTTATTAAAGCCCACTCCAGACTTCTCTGAAATTAAGAAAGTCGGTTTGAGTCGGGTACCACAATATGGTCCTCAGTGGGGAACTTGGTGAGTGGATGCTGGTGTTGTAACATCCGTGTTTATATAATCTATGAATGTGTATAAACAGGTAAGGCCGTAGTGCAGCTCTGCAGTGCTCTTACTGTTGCTGTGCTTAAGTGTGCACAGACAGCCCCTTTAGCGATGAACTGAGAAAGGGATTAGAAAGAAGCATTTTGAAGTGAAATTACATTTTACCTCCCCTAGGGAGATGAAGTGACTTTCCCAAGTAGTTTATAGATAGTAAGTAGCAGAGCCTGTAACCACAAATCCATTTCTATTTCACCATGTGATTGCTTTTCTTTCCTAAAGAAGGAAATACTGTTTTAACTACTATTTTGTTATCTCCAAATGGTATTTTGAGTGTTGAGAATAAAGAAATATAGACCTTAAGAAAAGCCCTGCTGCTAGGACTTGGATGTTCTAGGTGGAGTAAAGTAAAGAAAAACTGAGGAGTAAACACCTTGCAGCCAAGAGTCAGCGAGCAGAGGCGCAAGGCTGCCTCCCAGCAGCCTGTAACTGATGAATGCAGAGCAAACAATAGGGTTAAAAGCAAGTGAGGAACGGTGTGCTCTCTGGGCTTCCTCTGGCCGGGATCGTGGCCACAGCGAGTCACACCTGTTGGGGCTAAAAACTGCCCAGGGACTCAGAGCTAATGGGCAGAGCTGGGTTCCCAAGGCATGACTCATACTAAAAAAGATAAGCAATCTAAAAGTTCACCTAGGTAGTATTTGTTATCCAAAGATCACAAGCATTCTCTATTTAACTTCTCTGAAAGTGTATCATTCAAAGAGTGTAAGTACAAAGCCATTCCACTGGGACCCTGGAGTTCATTTGGAAAGTAAGTCTACAGAGGTAAATAAGGTTGGGCTTCAGTCAGGGAGATACATAATTTGAAGGTAGATATTCTATCTCTGTCTTTTTGCTCCCTAATTCTTTTTTTGCAGTTTTTGGCAGGGGCTGGGTTTGAACTGGCCACCTCTGGCATATGGGGCCGGTGCCCCACTCCTTTGAGCCATAGACGCTGCCCTTGCTCCCTAATTCTTAACATATACCCAGTAAGTAGTTAAATGAAATAAACAAAACACCCATAAAAATTACATTTTCCTGGAATAATAATATTAACTACATCATATGTGCTTTTATATCAGCAATTTCACTTATCATTCCTATCAATACCCCAATGTTAAGGATATTAGCCATCGTCAAAGACATGCTGTTTGCGGGTGCAGGCTGCCACCTACAAGAAAAGGAGAGGCCATATGGTCTTGTGTTACAACTCCAACTTTCTCAAGTGACAGTAGGCAAACCTCTCTGTACATCCCCATTCATCTTCGATATGTAACAAATCATGTGAATTAATGAGATCTGACAGAACAGCATTAAGAAAAATACTGGAATTTGAAAGCAGAATTGTTCTATTGTTGGTATTAACTGAATACTTTATCATCTCTGGTTTGAACCATGAACTTCTTTTTCTCTCATGAGTGTAAATTTTAGGGCAGAAAATATTAAGTTTATTAACAAAAAATGTTTTGGATAAAGAACAAAATTTAGAGGAGTTGTTGCAGCATTCTTGGAAACAGGGTAGAAAAATACACACCAGCCAAAAGATAAACCTTAACAAGGATTTACATTATTTTTCTTCTGATGAAATCATATGTAAGCTAGTATTCATATGGAGATAGTATTTAAAGCCTAGTCTCAAAAAGGGTAAGCTACTCCCAGCTACCAAGATCTGCTACCTAACAGAAACTATGTGCACAAGAAAGCTGGCGGGAAGCACCTCTTCCATCTCAGCTCATGGCTGGCTACTGAGTTCTGCATCCTACCAGCTAACAGTGTACAATTTAAACAACCAGTTGCCTACTATGATGTACCAATTAATTTCACTTTTGCCAGAATTCATCTCAGACCCTTAACTAGGTGTCCTGATTCAGGCACACAACTGCTGAAAAGCTTGGTTTCTCCTGCCACAAGTCCCAGGTTTGAATCCTGCCCCTTCTACTCACTGCCTCATGACGAGGGCTGAGGCCGGACCTGTGTCATCATCTGTAAAATGAGGATCATGAATATTCCTACTTCATGGGCTTACTAAGAAGATTAAATTAACCAATACATGAAAAACACTTAGAACAGTTTCTGGATGTAGCAAAGTTCAATAAGGGTCAGTAAGGATCACTAGCAGACGGAGGCAGCATCAGCAAGCGCTCATCATCATGCGAGGATGACTCCCAGGTGTGACCCACTAATGGTCACCTAAAACCATAGGACCCTCTCCCGCCCCTTCCCCTCCACTGGTTGATTTGTTTTATGAACTTGCTGAAGCTTTTGGCAGATAGAGTCTAGATCAGTGATTCTCAACCTTCCTAATGCCGCAGCCCTTTAATATAGTTCCTGTGGGTCGCGACAGGACTGCTGGTCTAGATGAACAACCCTTTGGAAAAACTGATCTTATGAACGCAGGCTCCAGAAGAGTAGGGTTTTTGTCTTTCACTACTTCAACTCTTACACAATCATGCCTGGCACATAATTAGAACTTGACAAATTATTTGTTACATAAACGAATGGCTAAAGGCAAGGATCTGAAATTATGTTAAAATGGGCTATGGGCATTAGATTTAGTAGTCTTAGGCAAGGGGACAATTGGTGTAGATCCATTTCAACCTGGATCGAATTAATTACTAAATGAAAACAATACTTCTGTAATATAGACAGTTATTGACTAAATGCAATTTTTCAGATACTTAGCCCGCAGGCTCAGCTGCAAATATTATCATTAATACCGAGTGGCCATAAAGTTTGTGTGCAATTTTAAATTGCCCATGAGCTTAATGGCAACTCTCCATATTGACAGTATCCAATAATTGTCACATCTTCTTAGAAACATTTGTGAGAATACTTCATGACAAATCACGATGGTCACTTCCATTTACAATTAATTGAATAGTAAAAATACTGTAAAAAATTACATAGGAAAACAAGAACGGTGCTGTCTCAAAGAGAAGATTTAATTTGGTTCTAATTTTTTAATAGGTAAGAAATCTAGTCTGATTCTTTGGAATTTCTTAAAAAAAGCATAGCTAAGCTTTCAGAAGAAAAGGTAAAGGAATAAGAAGTAAATGAGACCTTTAGTCTAAAAAACACATCATGACCTATCAAAATCTAATGGCAAATTTTAAACAAATTTAACAATTTTCTGTTACAGAGTTAGTAACGTTTCAAAATCAAAACCTGACATTTTATCCTAGTACCTGAATAAGTCACAGTGACTAAAAATTAATTTGCTTTTTCAGACACAGTGAAATAGGTGCTAAAGAACAAAATACACAGCCAAAGAATCTCTTGAAAGAAAAAAAAAAACACATGGAGAAAATATGAAACAGCTTTCATCACAGACGGTACAAAAATATAACTGAAACTGCTGATAACAAAATATATATCCCACAAAACCTCAAGAAAAAAAAAAGCAACACAGAAAAGTTCCACATCCTGGTTTTGTTTTACCTTCCACCATGAGCATGGGCTCCTTGCCCCCACCATGGGCCAGCATCTCCCTGCGGTAGCGCTCCCCGGCGGCCCTGGGGAAGAGAGCACAGTTACAGACGCCTGCTTACACGGCCCACCTGGCTGGCACTCACTCGCGTCTGGAGTTTCTGAAAGGAAGCCACACTTCATATTCATAAAAGCTGCCACCAAGTGACAATTTGGCCTTTGACTATTTTCTTGCTCTAAAAATCTTATTCTGCTTTTTAAATTATTCTAAAATAAATTAAAGCAACCGTGATATATTCATTGCAAAAGACTAATTATATTTTCAGCTTGATGTTTTGTTAGAAAGTGACTTTTCTTTGTAGAAAGGATTAATTTATGTACTGCAGAGTAAGTAAACATGATATCTTACTCTCCGTAAGTTTTTGGATTATTTTTGAGTGAAGTCTGAAAATATTTATGACATTCTTTCCTTTCAAAAAAGAATTTGAGGTGGCATCTAACACAGAGAGAAAAATAACACTCTAAAATTAGAGTGAAGGAAACAGAGCTGGCAGGAGAAGGTTAATTATGCCAGAAACCTTGGCTCAGGATGAGCGCTTAGGGACCAGAAAGCTCCACTGAAGGGTGCTAGTGGAGAAGGTAAAGGATGGAACAGCTCATCTCTACCCTGCAGGCTCTGGGTGCACTCAGAAGTCCTACGTGGCACTGAGCTCTATAAGGAATACTGTCTATGACTATAGGTAAGGTAGGATTTAAAGACTTATAGATATAAATTATCCAATTTAATGGTACCCAGAAACAAGCTCTTTAGTGCTATTCCTTTGTATTTTATGGAAAATGCAACTTCTTTAACACAAATAACTACACAATATGAGATAAGGAGTAAATTTTGATATGGTTTTCATTCCACTAGCTCTGGGGCATCTTTATGTATGGATTGTTTTGTAAACACTGACTCTAATTGGGTTTTTTGAGAGCCTTTTATCATCGAAACAATGCTGACATCAAACACTAACTAGGTCACACTACAGCCAGCACTAAGCCAAGGCAGGAAACCTGGACAGAAGTGGAGCCTTCTCAGGGCAGGGGTGGCTGAGAAGGTCCCTCCTGTGTGGGATGTAGCACCCCTTCCCCCAAATCAACCCCTCCTTGCAGGCCCCCAGCTCCAGGCTTGCCTCAGCCCTGCTCTGCCTGGCTTCCTGATGTAGGTTCTGGCCTGGCTATTTCTCATAAGTGGGATCAAAGAGGATCTTTTGATAGAGGTTAGAATTTTTTTCGTCCAGTGAGCATTTTTACTAGCTTACTTATGTGTGGTGTCCATGAAGTACGGGGACTACATGTCTAGGCAAGAATGTACATACATGCAAGATATAAATATTTGGAAACATACGTATTTAATAGTATGTGATTTTCTAGTAAAGTATAGTTCCTTCAAACAAGATGATATTTTGCCTATTTTATAGAAATCTCCAGCAAAGAATTGTGATCCCTAAAACTGATTTACTATAGTCAAGTTTGGCTGCAGATCATTTGAAAATAATACAATCTTTTTTTTTTTTTTCTTAGAGGCAGAGTCTCACTTTATTGCCCTTGGTGGAATGCTATGGAGTCACAGCTCACAGCAACCTCCAACTCCTGGGCTTAGGCGATTCTCCTGCCTCAGCCTCCCAAGTAGCTGGGACTACAGGCGCCTGCCACAACACCTTGCTATTTTTTGTTGCAGTTTGGCTGGGGCTGGGTTTGAACCACCCTTGGTTAAGGGGCTAGCGCCCTACTCACTGAACCATAGGCACTGCCTAAATAATACAATCTGAAAAGCAGACCAAATGTCTACAGTCTACAAAGGGTGGAAGACAAAATAACGTGTGGACACCAAGCCATGAAACATTTAAAAATTCTACCACATCATCAAATTCAAAGTTCAAAAGGATTTGAAATGGAATGTTTAATTAATTAATTGCTGACAAAAATCCAAATCTATATCAAATTGTATGAGAAGTGGAGGGTACGTGGAGGAGGTAGGAGGGAAAAGAAACTAAGAGTTAGATGCTGAGATTACAGTCTCAGTCTGTTTATTAATTGTGAAGCCTTGAACAAATTACTTATTTTCTCTGAGCCTCAGTTTCCTCTTATAAAAGGTACCTGTTCCAATGAGGCTGCTGTGAATGCCATATGAAAGCTCTTGGGTACTCTAAAAGCCTGCAAATCAAAGATGCCATGTATTTTAAACTATGTTAAACTGGTGAAGATAGCAGTCATCAAACAGTTCATTACAGCAGTGGTTCTCAACCTTCCTAATGCCTCCTAATGCTGCGACCTTTTAATACAATTCCTCATGCTGTGGTGACCCCCAACGATAAAATTATTTTCATTGCTACTTATAATTTTGCTACCGTTACGAATCGTAATGTAAATATCTGATATGTAGGATGTATTTTCATTGTTACAAAGGAGTCCCAACCCACGGGTTGAGAACCACAGTTTGAGAACCGCTGCATTAGAGGAATTTAGAAACGTATCTATTTGTGTGGTTAGGAGATGAAATGCTATAACAATTTCTAAACCAGATCATATCATGACTTTCTTTTAAAGACAACACTAAAGGAAGCCTAAGACGCCTAAGACCAAAACTTGACTCCCATGTGTTTCCTATTGTTAGAGGAATTCCTATAACATTGGCTCTCAGCCTGTGGGTAGCAACCCCTTTGTCACAATGAAAATACATCGTGGCATTAGGAAGGTTGAGAACCACTGTCCTATAAGGATCAGGAGGCCAAATCAGGGAGCAACAGAAGATCAGATGGGACCTGTCCACACTACAAGAGATCACCTAGAACTCTCCTCTCAAGATGAGACCGTTGTGCCTCTCTGCCCAGTGTGGGACCTGGCCTCTCCTCCCGGGGAAGGTCTAACTACTACATAGCCTTACTGTACTACCCATCCTAGCGGCCCTCCCACTCCTCAGGGTGTGCAGCCATAATTGAAATTTACCCAGGCCACACGTTCTCTTTGAATCATTACAGGCTCACCATGGACATTGGCTAATATGATGAAATATGCTCCAGGGAGAGGACCAGGGAGTCACCACACAGTATAGCTAGCTGTCCACAGAAAAAGCTGGGAACTCTGCTCTCTTAACCACTGATTATCCTGCTGAGGGAGATCTGGGGCAAGGCTCCTGGGCAGGCATGTAACAGGCTAGGCAACAGAAAACGATGGAAGGTAGAGTCTACAGCCACCTCACTGTCCGAGTTGCATTGAGTGGGCACAATGCTGGGGAGTGGTGCTGAGGGCAGTCAGTGGAGAGCCTCCCCTGTCCACACTACCACTATTTCCCATGGAGACACTGCACTGGGGAAAGCAGTGCTTCACAAGCTGGGCAGAGGGGTAACTCTCCAGAGACAGACTAAGTATTGATGCTGACAGAGTTTCCACCAGTGCTAGTCCCAAATGAGAAACTGTAGTAAGTCCTATGGGCAATAAAGAAGAAAGAAAGTGTCTGCACGAGTGAACCTTCCAAAGCTTGTGTCAAAAGGCTGGCAGTCTGTCAAAAATAACAGGAAGCACGGGAGCTGTAGGAAGTGACAACAAGAATGACTGGAAGAACAAAGAAAAAGGCATGTGCAGAAGCAAGAGCCCTCACACGATGGTCCCTACAGGCCCACAGTGGGCACCATGTGACCACCACCACCATATAGCACAGTGGGGGAAGGCAGATGTGCAGGGCCACGGTCAGCCTCAGAAAGTGGATGCAGGGTCTGCAAGGAGGCCTGAGAGCAGTGTGGGTGTGTGAGGAGATGCCTCTGCTCACCAGATTCCTCTGTGTGCTGGGCCCGGTGCCCCTCAGCCTGACTTGGGGTATGGCAGGGTGGTGGTTACTGTGGCTACAGGAGGACACATTTTATGCACTTCCTCTGCTTTTTACCTGTTAAACGGGTCCTGTAGAAAGCATTCCTTCCAAACCATGGAAGCCACTGCCCTGGACATCAGGTAAGAGTAATATTTGGCACCATAGCCCACAAGATGGCTGAATCGCAGCTGCCAGGCCTGTCAAAACAAAAACACAGCACGGGAAACCATGTAAGACCTTGCACTTTGCAGATATTATGCACGGGAACTCAGTGGAAGCACAAACAAAACCTGCAAACGTTTTCATTTAAGTTTTAGCCTAGAGGGTCACGTCACTCATGGCTCATTTTTACATTTTATATACTGTTACAGGCTGAGCTGTGCCTCTCCAAAATTCACATGTTAAAACCTCAAGTCAGTACCTCGGAATGTAGCTATATTTGGAGAGGCTATTAGGTTGGGCCCTAATCCAATCTGGCTGATGCCCTCAGAAGAAGAGAGAATTTGGACACATAAAGAGATGCCAGGGGCCATGGGCACGGAGGAAAGGCCACGTAAGGACACGGTAGAAGATGGCCTTCTGTAAGCCAAGGAGAGAGGCGTCTGCTTGGACTTCCAGCCTTCCAGAACTAGCAGATAATCAAGGGTCTGATGTTTCTATCACTCAATCTGAGATATTTTGTTATGGCAGCTCTAGCAGGCTAATACAAACACAGAAAACAGGTGCGTGTATATGTATATATGTGTTTGTGTATATGTTTTGCTTCAAACATACATCTAATATTCTTCATTAAGAATATTATTAGTTAAGAATATTAGAATTCTTAGACTTCTTCTAAGCAAACTTTAGACATCATCTTTCTTCTACATAATAAGAGTGGGTTTACTTACCATCTAGAAGAAAGATAATGTCTAAAGTTTACTTCTTTTTAATAATGTGCTTAGTTCAGAGAGTTGTACTCTACAATGATGACTTGCTGCATATATGAGCTGCTTTTCTAAATGTGCTCATTTTTCTAACGCTAAAACCTTCTATGTTTTTACCACAATTACTTTTTATGTAAGAAAAATAGAATTTTGTTTAAGAAGAAACAAATACTAAAACCAAAGTTAATCACCCACAACTTTGGCCCCTTGAACGGGCCAAAGCAAATTCAAGTTCACATATCATGAAAGGAACATTTTAAAAAATCTGGTTCCTTCTTCACAGTTCTGGCCATTTTCAGGAATACTCTGAGCTCTATATCCATGACCCAGCAACTTTAAAGATCAACTCACGGTGCTAGTTATTCTCTGGTTGTGTCCAATTCTCTAAAGCAAGTAAGTGCCTGGGCTGGGCAAGGTGGGAGTCAGAGAAAGGCCACTGCCTTAGATTTAGGACGTGGGGACATCCTGGCAGAGATGCACAGCTGTGCTCAATATCCACTCTCCTCTTCCTGCAAAAAGATATGAGTGGAAGTAAGGCAGGCACCTGAGAGCTACAGACTGAAGAAAAGCGCCATGCCTCCTCCTCCTCGGGGGAGTCATGTCGGCCCGGCCTGTCTGTGGGGGCAACACCACACGGACTCGGAGGGTCTCTGACTTAGGGCAGCCGCCACTCACACTGGGTGGGTGCACTCAGCAGCTGCCATGTAGGGGTCTGTATAAGGTGCCCCCCACTCCAGGTGCAGGTGCTGGGCCTCCACCTATGAATACACAATCAGAGGAGGGGCGGATGCTCCTGGGGGCTCAGTAGAGGCAGTGCCCCTGCTGGAGGAGCCGAGCACTGAACTCAGACCGTGGTCTCTGGCCATAGGCCCCTCAGCAACAGTGGAGCGGCAGAGAAAGGGAGACAAAGACTCTTCACCATTTTTGGATGTGACTGGCATATAAAACAATAGCAAATGGCCTAGGACCATCTATGGGTCAAATTCTAGTATGATAAATTTTGAATAACTACATTTTTGGTCAAAGGGCTGGGTCTTTTGGAATTCATTTACAGTGCATACATACATCTATCTACTCAGTTTTATTTAAAAAGAGGATCTATGCCAGCTTTTGTTGCATGCTAGAATCTTAATCTACTAAATATTGATTAGAACACATGGACCACTGGTAATCTTTATCACAGACAGCAATTTGGACGTGATGAAACCTTCTGTAACAGAACACGGCCTTTGTAATCTGATACTCCCGCATGCATGGTACTGGCTTTGTGCCCCTGACTACACACATCTATACCACATATATGCATCTCTTAGGATGGAAGCCCTGGAATTAGCAGCATACAGTTAAGGGGCTTTGTCTTCAAAACTCTTTCTTCATGGTGATCTGCCAGAACTAGTTTGGCAGCCTTTGCAGTACAGAGCGGGATTTAATTCTGTTGAGATTCGAGCTGAATACAGCTTTGTTACATCTTGAAAGCAGGCCCACTTCAAAAGTGGTATTTGATCTGAGCTAAGAAATTTCTTAAGTTTCCCAGTTTCCTCAACTTGTAGTTGAGTTCCCACATAAACAGACAAATAAGATGCATCAGAATTGTAGAAAGAGACATCAGGATTTGTGGAATGCACCATTTCCTAAACTACCATGGTTCTGCTTACCCTAACATCCCGACCTGGATACAAGTCTCTTGGCTCATGCAAACCTCGCTGTGTCTCGCTCTTTAATTACAGGTTTGGGTTCAGCATTACATCCTTTTCCATCTCAAGACATGCTAAATTATCCCCACCTGACACCCTTCATCAGTGGTTTGTAAGTTTATGGCCAACTCAGTTGGAACACAATTGCTGAATTCTTGCTAATTCAACCTAATATTAAGTCTTTATTACCATTTTACTCATTCATCTGGAAAAATGGAAGACAGCATTTCATTTTAAGCTCTGGAATATGATATCCTCTTCCTTTTAAGTCAAAGTCTTCTTCCTAAGGGATATCTGTCAGATGGATAAAAGTTTTTGCCTTTCCTTCGATGTTTAACGTGGGATGTGATTTCAAAAACAAATGACTCAAACACTTGTGTAGTTTCCCTTTCTATTATGGCTAGAGATGTGGATCTGAAATCCTCACACTATCGCAAGGCACAGCTATTTCAGCTTTTCTTGAGCTAGATGATCTCAGTGATCCCATGTGAAGGATGATACCTGGAGCCAGTGGAGAGGCATGTGCAGAACCCCCTGGGCACGGTCACTGGCTCAGAACCCCTGAGCATGGGAGGCCCTTCGGGGATTCTTATTTGCCTGCAGACCTTTGCTAAACCACCATTCCTCATGGCCAGGAACAGAAAAGCAGTAATGTGGTAGTTTACTTACCATTTATTTTCTGCTTCAAACCTAGAACAGGAACTAATGCAAGGCAAGTTCTCACTATGTGCTAAACACTGAAAATGGTAGAACTACCCTTTTCTCTTAATTATACTCTTAAATAGTATAGCACTTCTTCACTCCCAGCTACATGTGAATAAATGCATTTAGCTGAAATTTCTTTAAAAACAATCTAATCACTCGCAGCATTGTACATTTGACCACTGAACAACATGGGTGGGGCAACTTATATGTGGATGTTTTCAGTAAATATCGTCAGCCTTCTGTATTAGCAGGTTTTACATCCATAAATAAAAGAGGTTAGAAAACACAGCATTTGAGGAATGTGAAACCTGCACACAGAGGGCCGACATTCATATTCGCAGGTTCTGCAGGGCCGACTTGAGCAACCGTGGATTTTGGTGGTGGGGGAGGCCTGGAACCAATCCCTGCAGACACTGGGCAGTCCCACCTCATCTGCAGTTTTGCACCTGCAGTTCCAGTTACCCATGGTCAGCTTCAGTCCAGAAAAAGATGAGGACAGTACAGTATTTAGAGAGGTGATATTCACAGAGCTTCTATTACAAAATATTGTTTAAATGGTTCTATTTTATCATGAGTTATTATTGTTAATCTCTTACTGAACCTAATTTATGAATTTAAAATGATCACAGGTATGTATATATAGGACAAAACATAGTATACAGAGGGTTCAGGTACCCCCAGGGGTCTTGAAATGTAACCCCTTTGAATAAGTGGGTACCACTATAAGCTGTGTTGCTGTGTGGCCCCTGGTATATGTCTCACTGAACTGAAAGCCCCTCAAGGGCACAGTCTACAAGTTGAGTTCATGTCCAGACTCAGCACAGTACCTAGAGTAGAACAGTAATTCAATTTGTCTGCTGAATGGATAGATGGACAGATAAACACTATGGTCCCTGACAGACTGGATTTCTTACTGAGATGAGGAGCCCAGGAGTAATAGTATCCTATCACAAACAAAAGCACAAGACAGAGCTAAAAGAAATCTGGATCTTAAGCTCTTCATGGCTTTTTAAACTAGTTCTTTGACTGCATTATCTGAGAGATAGTTTGAGTCTGAGGCTGGGTTTGGCAGTGGATCCCCAGGCCTGGGCTAGGTACTGAATCTGAGTGGGCCCCTGTGGAGTATGACTTCCAGCTCCTCTAGGCCTCAGAGACTCAAATGATGGGCTATTAACACTGTACAAGCTCCTAAAGGGCCTGTTGTTCACATTTGTGCCTGTTGTGATTAGGATAATTACTAGACAAGATAGGAAAAAGTAAATTCCTGAGCCAGACTTTGTAGACAGACCATTTTGACTTTTCATATTCTCTGGGTACAATACAATTGGTCTGCGGAGTATCTTTATGATGGAAAACCACTGGCACCCAGAGTGTTTAAATATTTCACCACAATGGGGAGCACAAGGAGATAATTCTCCTATTTGGTCTCTCATGTTCATATTCTCTTTCTCTTCGTGGCTATGTATGGTTATGTGTTCCATGAGTACATTAGTACTTCTAATTGATAAAAAGTCTCTACTAACATTTTACTAAAACCTATGAAACAACAGAGACAAACAAATAGGAATTCTTCTACTTGGAATATGAAGTGTTACAATGGAACACAGTATGATGGCCACATTCTCAGGTGGGCCCTGTGATCTGTCTTCCTAGGCTCATGCCTTTGTGAAATCCTCTTCCTTGAGTACAGACAAAATCTGTTCCTTGTTTCCAAGCAACAGAACATGGCAATGGGGTTGCGATGTTGCTCTGTGATTACATTATGTTACACAGAATGTCTCTGTCTTGCTAGCAGACTCACTCTAGAAACCCTCCTGGGTAGCCAGAAGAAGTGGCCACATGGGAAAAGCCCACTATCTGGGAGCTGGGGAT